CCACGGATGTGGGGCAGCCCCACACCTCCAGGTCAATCCCAGGTATCAAGGTCCAGATAGAACCCCCAAATCCAGGTCTAACCCCGTGTCCAGGTAGGACCCACGGATGTGGGGCAGCCCCACGTGTCCAGGTCAATCCTAGGTGTCCAGGTTTCAGGTAGAACCCCCAAATCCAGGTCTAAGCCCGTGTCCAGGTCCAGCCCCATGTCCAGGTTCAGCCCAGGTGTCCAGGGCCAGGTAGAACCACCAAATCCAGGTCTAAGCCCGTGTCCAGGTCAGCCCCACGTGTCCAGGTCCAACCCAGGTGTCCAGGCCAGCCCCACACCTTCAGGTCCCAGCCCCAAATGTCCAGGTCCAGGTAGAACCCCTAAATCCATGTCCAGGTCAGCCCCACACCTCCAGGCTGACCCCAGATGTCCAGCCCCAGGTAGAACCCCCAAGTCCAGGTCCAAACCCTGTGTCCAGGTCCAGCCCAAGTGTCCAGGTCATTGCCACACCTCCAGGCTGATCCCAGGCTGATCCCAGGCCAATCCCACATGTCCAGCCCCAGGTAGAACCCCTAAATCCATGTCCATTCCCATGTCCATCCCAGCCCCACATCTCCAGGCTGACCCCAAATGTCCATCCCAGCCCCACACCTGCAGGCCGATCCCAGATGTCCAGGTCCAGGTAGAACCCCCAAATCCAGGTCTAAACCCCGTGTCCATCCCAGCCCCACACCTCCAGGCTGACCCCAAATGTCCATCCCAGCCCCACACCTCCAGGTCCAACCCAGGTGTCCAGGTCCAGATAGAACCCCCAAATCCAGGTCTAAACCCCATGTCTATCCCAGCCCCACAGCTGCAGGCCGATCCCAGGCTGATCCCAGGCCAATCCCACATGTCCAGCCCCAGGTAGAACCCCTAAATCCATGTCCATTCCCATGTCCAGCCCAGCCCCACACCTGCAGGCCGATCCCAGATGTCCAGGTCCAGGTAGAAACCCCAAATCCATGTCCATTCCCATGTCCAGGCCAGCCCCACATCTCCAGGCTGACCCCAAATGTCCATCCCAACCCCACACCTGCAGCCACCCTGCGCTGCCATCCCCACATTCCCCCATCCCCACATCCCCCTGTGTCCATCCCAGCCCCACACCTGCAGGCCGATCCCAGATGTCCAGGTCCAGGTAGAAACCCCAAATCCATGTCCATTCCCATGTCCAAGTCAGCCCCACACCTCCAGGTCAATCCCAGGTGTTCAGGTCCAGGTAGAACCCCCAAATCCAGGTCTAA